GACCCCAGGAAGAGGCAGCATTTGCTGCCTGCAGAGTGGGGAATGAGGTTGCTGGGGCAGGGAAGGAGGAAGGCTTTTCAGTATACATCCATCTGAACCTTTTTATTTCGTCACCTGGGCATGCCTCTCTCCCGGCTGAGTTGACAGCCGCCAAGGCCAATGGTGGTGGAGGAGGCGCGGCCTGACTGGCGAGGTGCCACCCTACCCCGGTGGGAGCCCAGCCTCACAGCCTCACTCACTCAGGGAACCTGGACGCGCTCTGGGCTGCCCTCTTCTCATCTATAAAACAGGATTTCCCGGTCCCTTCTTCGAAACTTCCCTGACGCCAAATGCAACTCGTCCATCACTGAGAGTTGCCGGGCTGTTTTCTGAATAGGAATTTCTTGGGCAGATCTTTACACTCTCCCACCAAAAAGCAGCAGGATGCAAGATCTCTTTTTTTGTGTGTACATTAAACAACGTTTCTGGGCTTGGGTTCTTTCCGACAAGAAGTAACTCAGCTGATGAAGGGGGTGAAATGGAACAAGGGTTTGATTTAGAGGGGTCTTCCAATGCCCTTCTCCAACCTTTAAACCCATGGGTCGTCCCTAAAGGGTTTATGGAGGCTGCCGAGGCCACCCCAGGAGAGAGCAGGAAGGATTAACACACTCAGGAACGGTGCGCTGCTTCTCATCACTGTGAATCCCTGAACTATCTGTTTCTAAGTAAGGGCTTCTCCCCTAGATTTTAGTTAAAGTGTATGGGGGTTTTTTGTTTTGTTTCTGAGATGGCATCTTGCTCAGTCGCCCAGGCTGGAGTGCAGTGGTGCAATCTTGGCTCACTGCAACCTCCATCTCCCCTGTTCAAGCAATTCTCTGCCTCAGCCTCCGGAATAGCTGATATTACAGGCGCCCGCCACCACGGCTGGCTAATTTTTGTATTTTTAGTAAAGACGGGGTTTCACCATATTGGCCAGGCTGGTCTTGAACTCCTGACCTCGTGATTCACCCGCCTTGGCCTCCCAAAGCGCTGGGATTACAAGCATGAGCCACTGCGTCCAGCCTGTTATTTTTTAAATTGTGAAACTATTGCATTTCACACTGGAAAATTACACTCATAAACCGTTTTGCACTGTAACAATTCTGCACCAGGCAAAGGCCTTGGCAAAAGCCAAGGTGGCATGTGTGCTGAACCGCCGGACCAGCTGAGCACCAAGGTCGCTCAGACATCGCGGGATCACTTGCAATTACGAGGGTTACTGAGAAGAGGGGACAGAGCCAACCCCATCGACCCAGGGTGTGGGTGTGAATGAGCGCAGACCCTCGGAGGGCAGTGTGGCAATAGCTAACTCAAAACAGTAGAGCCATGTGTCCTTTTTTTTTTCTTTCTCCCATAGAGCAGACATAGCCTTTTAATACAGTGCTATGCATGCTATTCTGTAGCTACGCCAGCACTTTGCCCACGGGAAGTTAAAGATGTTCATCGGTACACTGAATAGTAAGAAACTGGAAGCAGAGACTGATCTGATTGCAAAATTAATAAATGACACCCTTTAAAATAAAAGCTTCATGCAACAGAGACCTCCTGTAAGAAGTCTATCCTCTAAAAAGAGCCCATCGTGCACTTCCCACCTCCTGTAACTGTGTTCCTTAACCACCCCCTGCCTCTAGGATCCAGTGGGGAGGTGGGGGACTCCAGCCTGGGCCGGTCTTTAGGCGGGCTGCAATGGACTAGGTGGTCTGAGGGGCAAGGGTGGGGGGACTCCCAGGAGCATAAGGGGTTGCTCCAGCCTTTGACCTTGGAAGGCCTCAGGAGAGCAGCTCTCCCCACCACTTCCAGAACAGCCTGCCCATTTGCCCTCCCAGGCAAACACGGGAAACTGCAGGATCAGGCTCCACAGCCCTGTACGTGATAGAGTTGGTACCAATCTGCCTCATCTGCACAGCATGGCCTTGGGCAGGCTGCCCTCTACAAGAAGTGCTCTAAACGCTGAGAGCCCTGGGCTGCCTCTGGGGTGTCCTGGGTCAGGATCCAGGGGTGGACATTTGCATCGTGTGTCCAGGGGTCCTTGGGCAAACTGAAAGCTTGAGGAGTCCTGCAAGCACCTGAACTGTGCTTGTTTTTACTTAGGTTCTGATCCAAAAACACGTCTGTCCTGTACATGTAATATTTACCTACTACACACACAGAAACGGCATCACGTTAACACAGCTGGCCTGTAAATCACACCGTAATCTTGTCAATGTGCAGAGGAGCTGGGGGCAAATTATTACACAAAATATGAAATATTGTGTGATGTCTTTTAAATCCTGAGTACATCCCATGCAGATCGGATGGTGGTGGTGTCTGGTTCCTCCTTTTAGCCAACTCCGCTGATGGCGGTAGGGAGACAGTATTTTTAGAAAACCTAAGAGCTGTGTGAACCTATTTGTAAGAAGTAACTAACGTTATCTAGTTTTAGCTGCCAAGTCCAGGGTCACTGGATTGATCTCAATTCCTGACCTTTCTATTGACTTCAGAGTGAATCATTCTTTGCTTCGGTATCTTCAATTTTCACAAGCATAGCGTGAAAACACTTACACTTTCTTAGTAGTATTTCAGGCATGAATGCGTTAATACTTGTCCTTATCACTTGCATAGAAAGAAAATCAGCACTAAACAAAGTCTGTACTCTCAGAATGTCCCCCCGTATATCTTTTTTGTACGTGTTTTAAACATTCTCATATATAATTATGTTTTTTTTTGAGACAGCATCTCACTCTGTCGCCAGTACAGTGGCTAGATCTCGGCTCACGGCAACCTCCGACACCCTGGTTCAAGCAATTCTCCTCCCTCACCCTCCCCAGTAGCTGGGATTACAGGCGCACGCCACCACGCCCAGATAATTTTTGTATTTTTAGTAGAGACGGGGTTCCACCACGTTGGCCATGGTGGTCTCCATCTCCTGACCTCATGATCTGCCTGCCTCAGCCTCCCAAAGTCCTGGGATTATAGGTGTGATTTTGGATCACACGCTCACAGTATGTATCTGATTATTTTATTCTGGCCAAATCTGTCATATATGTTTAGGTTAATGAATTACCTAAATATTATGTTACCCAAGCTGAGTGTTTGCAGTCAGGTAGATGACATACATGTCAAACCTCCCAGGACACTGATTTCTTTTTCGATGTACTAGTATCAAATTCTAGCAAATTTATTTCTTAGGCAAAAAGAAATCATTCCCTTTTAAAGCCTTCTTTTCTTTAAAAAGAAATCAAGCAAGCATCCCAGCATACCATGGGTCAGAGGAAACTGGAAGCTTCCAGGGAAAAATCTTAGACCCAAGATGAATTCTGCAAGGAAACATGAGTTGAAACTGATCCAGCTATTTGTAGGATTACAATAAATACACCTCTGCCCTCAGCTCCACAATTTACTGCCAAGCTGTACAAGGCAGGGATACAAAAGGAGCCAGTGGAGAGAGACTGTTAGCGGATCCCTTCACTCCAGAGGCCAGTTTCATCCCAACACAAGGATTCTTTACTGCCTCTGCCCCTGAGTAAACACCTTTCCCTCAAGCAAATTTCCCTTTCTCCTGCCTTCTTTGCAAACAACATCTGAATTTGCACGTTCTCGCCAGGAAATCAAATGAAAGTAACCTATTTAACCAAATAAACGGAAGAACACGCCGTCGAGGGACAGATGGGTTCCTACAGTTCAGTATTTTTACAGTAGGCCTTTCTGTTAAAACAAAAAAACACATTTCTCCTGCAGAACCCTTTATAAATATGGTTTTGATGATCACAATTACATTCAGACAGTCTCCTACAACAACAAACGACTTTTGGATCTGCTCAACAGAAAGAAGACTTTGCAGCTGTGTTCAAGGAAGCAACAAAACCAGAGAGTGAATTTTCATTGAGTCAGATTGCACTGAGACGAATGAAGCTGAGGCTCAGGTCTAGCTCTTTCATTATGTGTTTGAGTTGCAGATTCAAAATGTAAATAACTTAAAAGGATGCTTGCTCATGAAATTCGAATCTTAATACCGGAATAAAAGAGTAGCGGGCGGACCACGATCCCAGGGAGGACGCGGGGACACGGGGACACCCCCACTTCCAGAACGTTGTCTGGTCCCTTTTCTGCCGCGCACTATTGATCCGATGGACTCCTGCCACCGAACCCTGACCGGCCGCTACTGACCTAGTTCTGAGTTAGGAACAGCCCTGCAGACCGCCCCCTCCCCCTCCATTCCATCAAAATCGGGGAGCAAATTCAGAAAAGGTGCAGCTGGCTTTCTCCCTACACGTGCCCTAAAACTCGGAGGCTGGGTTCCACTTTCCCTGGATGTTTAATAAGAACTTCGGGCAGTTCGCATGACTTCTTTCTCAGAGTGCCTGGTGGTTTAAGTTCATGCGTTTTCCTCTCTCGCCTTTGGAGGGGGAAGCCTGGGCTGCTGGGGTCTGTGGGCCCCTCCCCCGGACTTCATTCTCCATTCCTTCCCCAGCCCCCGACCCGTTTTGCTCTCCTGCAAAAAAGGGCGACACCACGCCCCTCACACCGACCAGGAAACGCCAGTTCAAGAAGGGTGGGGCCCCGCGCGCCCCGGAGCAGCGCCCCTGGAAGGCGGGGGCAGGAAGCGGCCGCCGCGCCCCGTCCCGCTTCCCTCCCTTCGAGCCAGAACAATGGCCTTTAGCCCGGAAAACAGAGTCGGGAGCGAAGCCGGGCGCGCCCCGGGGGCCACGCGGGACTCGGTGGGCTTCACAGGCCCGAAGCCCCGAGGCGCCGCCTCCTCCCCCGGCCAGGGGCCCACCCGCGCCCCCGCCCCCGCGCGGGACCCCCAGCGGGAGCGCGAGGCCCAGCCCGCCGCGGACAATGCGCGCCCCGCCCCGCCCCGCGCCCGCCCCGCGCCCGCCCCCCGTCGCTGATTGGCCCGCGCGGGATTTGGGCAGCGCGCGGGGGCGGGGCGGGCCGGGGCGCGAGCGCGGGGCGGCGGTGCGCGTGCGCGGGGCGGGCCGGCGCCGGGCGGGGGCGGTGCTTTGTGTGCGGCCGGCGGGGCGCGCGGCGGTGCGGGCGGGCCACGGGCGGCGGGCGCCGCGGTCGGGCGGGCGGGCGCGCGGCAGCATGGAGGAGCTGAGCAGCGTGGGCGAGCAGGTCTTCGCCGCCGAGTGCATCCTGAGCAAGCGGCTCCGCAAGGTGCGTGCGGCCCGCCCGGCCCCCGCCCCCGCCCGCCGCCCGCCCGGCTCACGGCCCCTCTTCTCTCCCCGCAGGGCAAGCTGGAGTACCTGGTCAAGTGGCGCGGCTGGTCCTCCAAGTGAGTCCCCCGCGACGCCGCCCCGCCCTGCCGCCCCCTCGCCCGGGGCTGGCGACGGGGAGCCCCTCGGCCGCGCCGTCGGGGGGCCTGGGGGCGCCCGCGGGCAGGGCGGGAAGTTCGAGGTGTCCCCGCGGACTCCGCCGGCTCCGAGGGGGCGGGGGCCGCCCGGCCCGGGGTTGCCCTTTGTTTACACGTCCGCGGGTGCGGGGCTGGGCGGCCCCCCGCGCCGGAACCCCGCGGCCCGGGGCCCACGCGCCGCGCTCACCCCTCCCCTGCCCCGGCCGGGAGGGAGGCGCGGGACGCGAGCCCCCCTTCTCTTGGCCAGATTCTCCCCGCTGTAACCTGAGCTTCCTGTTGATGGATGTAGGGTTTCTTTTTCTTTCTTTCTTGTAGTGGAAGGGAGGGGATTTGGCGTCCCCGGAAGGGGCTCTGGCTCTGCACGGCTCCTCCAGCGGCCCGGTCCCCCCAGACCCCACTCTTCTTTCTTCGCTTCCCCTCGAGGTGCCCCGGCCCGCGCGCCACATTGTTCTGGATCTCGGGCTGGGCGCCTGTGCCCCTCCCTGCATCCTGGACCTGCCTTCCCTTCCTCCTCTGGCTCCGGGCCAGGGTTTGGGGGATTCCCTCTCTCTGCAACTTTGCGTTTTATTGGGATTTGTTTTTCTCCCAGGCAGAGACTGTGGGAGTCCTCTTGCGGCCTCGTTTTAATTGGGGGGTTGGAGCGGCAGTTTCCCTTTGGGTCTGTGGTTAGTGCTGGCTTGGTGGGGGGTGGCCAACCTCCAAAACCTGGGTTTGGACTTTGAGAAGTAGGATGGTGCCGTCGGCCCGAGTCGATGGGCGGTGAGGACGGGCCGCCTCGGACTGCTTTGCGAAGCCGTGATCGTCAGCCTGGCGCCTCATGCTGCCCTGCCCTCTGCCTTGCAGACATAACAGCTGGGAGCCAGAGGAGAACATCCTGGACCCGAGGCTGCTCCTGGCCTTCCAGAAGAAGTGAGGACACTGACTGCACAGTGGGGAGGGCATGGGGGGGCGGGGGGGCGGTAGTTGGTAGCCTCGCTGGGCGCTGCCCACCTGACCGGAGGCTGAAGCTGGAGCTGTGGTCTGAGGTCCCTTAGCAAGATTGTCTCCAGGGCCATCTCTGTGGCTGGCTCTAAAAGTTCCCAGGCAGGCTGTATCCATCCCTGTGAAGACCCTAAGTGACTGCTGCTTTGATCGTTCTGACAGCCAGACTTGCAAAAAAACCACTTTTTCAGTTGCTGCAGATAAAGATTGCTAGCTTCTCTGAGCCTTTTCCGCTGAATAATTTACAAATGGCTTTAACAAAAATCCAACATGGCAGGTTTGCCACAACGACGCAGGCCTGTCCTTCCAGCCCTGCACTCGTGTGCCATCAGGCAAGAGAAGGCTCAGAGAGGGAGCTGGAACACACAGCACGAGGTTGTGCTTGTTGTGGTGTGTCTCTGGAGAACGTAACATTTATTTTGCTCTGGGCTGCAGAGCATACAGTACTGAGTAGCCCCATGGGGCTGGATTGGAGCAGACTTGTTTCTGTAATTCTAGATGTCATTGCTGTTGTTAGGTAGGAGGCTTGGGTTGAGAGGTAGGCCTCCTTGAGATGCTTGAGGGCAAGGGGTGATGAGGAGAGGGCAGCAGCAGGAAGAGCCAGGAAGTGCTGCTCAAGCAATGGCAAGACGTGGGGTTTGCACTGACGGCTCCCCCAGCTCCCCAGGCTCCCCGGGCTGAACTTGCCTTGGGGATAGAGGCAGAAGAATTGGTTGTTGGAGTCTTTCCCAATCAGCGTCCATCTAGTAGGTTTGTTCTCTGTTAGCAAAAGCTGCGTTGACTTTTTTCCACTGTAGCAGGACATTTTGGGTCTTCCCAGTGGAGACATGACAGTGGGGAAATAGAGGTAGGGTGAGCGAAAAGAAAAAAGGTCAGCCTCTGCTTGCTGAAATCCCTTTGGAAAATCGTAATGGCAGCCCATTTTCTGTCCTCTCTGGGTCCTGTGAGCCTTGTGGTGGGGGGCATGGCTTGACCCACTTCAGAGGCTGGTAGATTTCTCTGCATCTGAGACAGTGTCCTAACTTGAGAGAGATTGTGTCCTTGCCCCTGGTTTTGGCTAGAGCAGAGCAGACGACAGAGGAATACCTGATACACGAGTTTAAAACCCATGGGTGGCCTGGATTATGTCGTGGAAGAAAGAAAATGGGGAAGGTGGCTGTTGGGCTTTCTCCATCCACCAAAATGCCCCCTGGGCACTAGGAGCTGGCCGTTACCTGCTTGGTATTGGCGGGGCTGGAGGTGTGGCCTCTGCTGCTCACAGGCTCACAGCACTCAGTCCGAAGGTTAATATTTCAGCAGAGGAGACCCATGCAGCACCCCATTGTCCTTTTAGGAGATTTCGGGTGAAGGACCAGCACTTAATTGGAATGTGAGCTTTGCCTGGTACCGATCAGATCTGTGTTTAAGAGGTTGCCTTCCAGGTCCCAGTGGGATGATGTTTGCCGAGTGTAATTACCAGTGCCTCTTCCCTTGAGAGTAGCCTGAAATACAAGCTTTCTCTGGGGGCTGGAGGCTCTTCAGGGGGTACTGCGGATGGTGCATGCGTTGAGCCCTGCGTGCTTCAGAACACGGCACCTCTGCCATCCCTGTCCAGAGTAGAGTTTAGGAATAGGCAGGTCTTTTCAAAAAGGAAAGAAGGAGAGCCATGCGCCAGCAGCCAGGCTCTGTGAGGGCTGGAGGGCCTGTAGTGCTCCTTGCTCGGATGAGCGTTTTATGCATAGGCAGCTGCCAAGGGAATGGGTGGCACCTCCCTGCCCTGGGTTTCCTTCTCCTCTTGGAATTTAGGAGGTTGGACCCCGTGGCCAGCCAGGCCACCTGTAGTTAGGATATGCTAGAATTTCCACGCAGCGGTGCACCTGCAGGAAGCTGTCTTTAGAGGGGTCAGAGAAAATGGGGATCACTGGTTTCCCAGCATTGCTTTGGCTTCAGTTTGTCCTTACCCAAATGAAATGAGATGGCTGGTTACCGATCCTAGTGCAAAGAATGGGGTCTGGTCTCTGCCTTGGGTATTGATATGTTTCCAGCAACAAGATGTGCTATTACAGGCCCTCAGGAACAGGGTGCTGCAGTCCATGGAGTCCCATAGGGTGGAATGGGGTATACACAGGGCTTCTCCTCTGTTAACTAGTGGTGTGCCTTCAGGGAACACGAGAAGGAGGTGCAGAACCGGAAGAGAGGCAAGAGGCCGAGAGGCCGGCCGAGGAAGCTCACTGCCATGTCCTCCTGCAGCCGGCGCGCCAAGCTCAAGGTGTGTGTTTGCGCCTGGCCTGCTGACCCCACCTCCCAGTACCCGCTTGGGGCGGGGGCAGGCAGAGGGAGGGTTTGGGGCCCTCAGTAAGGGGGTGGCACTTCTGCCAACAGTCTGTCCCTCTGCTCGGAAGACAGGAGCCCCCTTTCTTCCTGCCTCAGTTTTTGCTGTCAGGGACCCCAGCTGGCTGAGTTCCTCCCCACCCCTCCCAGGGCCTTCCTGCTTCTGCTCCATTCTGTCCTGCAAGCGCCAGACTGCATGGCAGGGTCAAACTGCTGCTCACAAGCACTTCTCACTCCAGGGGGTCCTCTGGGGACAGAAAGGAACAGGAAACATGCATACAGTAGGTGCTCTAGCTGGATGTGACTCACAAGCCCAAGATTTTGGGCTACTCCCGGCCCACCTCTCAGTGCACCTGAAATGGAAGTGGCCAGATGAGGCAGGGCTAACTCAATAGCCGGGGGTGCCAGGAGGGGCCTTGCAGGAGGGCAGAGGCAATGTGGGGTGATGATATGCTTGTCCAGACTGACTCATCACCCCTCCCACTGCAGTGATGGACTCATCCTGCCTCAACCCCAGGGTCCACGGCACGGCCCCTCCCTCCCCTGAGGACAGATCAGGCAGTACAGGGGCGGGGAGGAGGGCTGGCCTCAGTTCTGGATGTGTCTGATTCCCTCCTCCAAGCACTGTCCCTGGACCTCCACATGATGTGGCCACAGGCTCAGTCACTTACACAACTCACTTTTCCAGGAGGGTTTCCTGAATCAATGTTTTTACTGGCCTTACTTTGTCTTGAAAATATTCTTTTGAACAGGAAGGCGGGGCCGCAGAAGCCCTGCTGACTGAGGAGGGCCATGAGGCAGTGACTGATGCCTGCCAGGGGAGCGGAGGCCCTCCAGGTCTGACAGAAATCACCCCTGTTGAATTTGGGAGAATCGGGCAGCAGGGAGGCAGTGTTGGATCTGACGCTGTAAAATCCCCACCTAGCAGGCAACGTGGAGGCCCATGAAACACGAGGACGCTCTTATTTAATATTTAGGGTGACAGCCAGAAGGCGAGGAGGGCAGTGGTTTGTTTCCCACTGTCCTGGAAGGCTCATACTGGGAAATGGGGATACTGACGCCCACTTGGTTTAGGCCGCAAAGCTGGGCCTGCTGCTTCATGCGACCCGGAGCCTCGCGAGTCCTGTGAACTGTGACACTCTGGATACAGTTAGTTCCCTTCGAATGTCTGCTCTGCGGCCCCCTTGAAAGCTGACAGTGGACGGGGTGTTCTGGTGTGGACTCCGTCCTTACTCTGACTTCGTTTTTACCAGCTACCTATTTTTCTCTCTCTTCTACCTTTAATTTTGTCTCTCACGGAACTGAGTGTGGTGAGAGGTTGCACCTTCCTGATTGCCCCTCTGGTCTGAAAGCCACAGGAGGTGCTGGCTGCTCTGGACCCTGGGAGCAGGCAGTGGGGCTGGGACAGCTCCTTTATCTTTTTTTTTTCTTTTTTTGACATAGTCTTACTCTGTCGCCAGGCTGGAGTTCAGCGGCGCAGTCTCAGCTCACCGCAGCCTCTGCCTCCCAGTTTCAAGCAATTCTCCTGCCTCAGCCTCCACAGTATCTGGGACTACAGGCAGACGCCACCACACCCAGCTAATTTTTGTATTTTTAGTAGAGATGGGGTTCAGCCATGTTGGCCAGGCTGGTCTTGACCTGAACTCCTGACCTCAGGTGATCCGCCTCCCTCAGCCCCCAAAGTGCTGGGATTTCAGGCGTGAGCCACCGCACCCTGCCAACTTCTTTGTCTTTTTAGGAACCCGATGCTCCCTCCAAATCCAAGTCCAGCAGTTCCTCCTCTTCCTCCACGTCGTCGTCCTCTTCCTCAGATGAAGAGGATGACAGTGACTTAGATGCCAAGAGGGGTCCCCGGGGCCGGGAGACCCACCCAGTGCCTCAGAAGAAGGCCCAGATCCTGGTGGCCAAACCTGAGCTGAAGGACCCCATCCGGAAGAAACGAGGCCGCAAGCCCCTGCCTCCGGAGCAGAAGGCGACCCGGAGACCCATGAGCCTGGCCAAGGTGCTGAAGACGGCCCGGAAGGACCTCGGGGCCCCGGCCAGTAAGCTGCCACCTCCACTCAGCGCCCCCGTGGCAGGCCTGGCAGCTCTGAAGGCCCACGCCAAGGAGGCCTGCAGCAGCCCCAGCACCATGGCCACCCCAGAGAACCTGGCCAGCTTGATGAAGGGCATGGCCAGCAGCCCTGGCCGTGGTGGCATCAGCTGGCAGAGCTCCATCGTGCACTACATGAACCGCATGACCCAGAGCCAGGCTCAGGCCGCCAGCAGGTTGGCACTCAAGGCCCAGGCCACCAACAAGTGCGGCCTCGGGCTGGACCTGAAGGTGAGGACGCAGAAAGGGGAGCTGGGAATGAGCCCTCCAGGAAGCAAAACCCCAAAGGCCCCCAGCAGCGGGGCTGTCGAGCAGAAAGCAGGGAGCACTGGGGGGCCCCAACACACCCATGGCACCAGCAGGGTCCCTGCTGGGTGCCCAGGCCCCCAGCCAGCCCCCACCCAGGAGCTGAGCTTCCAAATCTTAGACTTACAGAATGTCAAGAATGGCATGCCTGGGGCAGGTCTGCTCCCCCGCCACGCCGCCACCACCAAGGGTGTCCCAGCCACCAACCCAGCCCCTGGGAAGGGCACTGGGGGTGGCCCCATTGGGGGCAGCGGGGCCACCATGCCCACCGACACCAGCAAAAGTGAGAAGCTGGCTTCCAGAGCAGCAGCTCTGCCCACCCCTGCCGGCAAGAGGGACTGTGTCAAGGGCAGTGCCACCCCCAGTGGGCAGGAGAGCCGCTCGGCCCCCGGAGAAGCCCGCAAGGCGGCCACGCTGCCTGAGATGAGTGCAGGTGAGGAGAGCAGCAGCTCTGACTCCGACCCTGACTCCACCTCACCACCCAGCACTGGGCAGAACCCGTCAGTGTCCGTTCAAACCAGCCAGGACTGGAAGCCCCCCCGCAGCCTCATCGAGCACGTCTTTGTCACCGATGTCACCGCCAACCTCATCACCGTCACAGTGAAGGAGTCTCCCACCAGTGTGGGCTTCTTCAACCTGAGGCATTACTGAAGCCCCTGAGCCACCAGCTGCTTGGTCTTACCTCCCCTTCCCTGTCTCGGGCTTTGCTGACTAAGTGACTCCCAGCCCAAGCCCCCTCAAGGGTCTGGGTAGGGAGGAGGAGTAGGTGGTCTCCTTGAAGAGCAGGCTTGGAAGGGGCTTTTCCCCAGCCCCCACCCTGCCTTGCTGGCCTGGTCTCCACCATGTTCCTACCTCTGTAGGCCTCTGCTCTCCCCTCCTGCCTCAGGAAATGTGGTGGCACCCGTGGCTCAAGGTGACTGTCTTGAACAGAGCGGGCTTCTTTGTGGCTGCGTTCGTGCTGGGTTTGAACTGCCCCTCCCTGGCCTGCAAGACTGAATCACAGCTTTGCTCCCATCTCCCAGGGTCTGAGGTATCAGGAGGGGGCTTCTGGCCCACCTCACCTTCAGCCTTGGGTGGCAGGAGAGTGTCATGGGGAGGCAAGGCCAGTGGGACTCGTGTTCCCTCCACCTGGCGACAGCTTTTGGGAGATGGGATGGGTGGGGGCTGGCCTGGTTAGCATGGCCTCAGCCAGCAGTGGTGGGGTGGGGAGCCATCCCCTGACAACTGGGGGCTGGCCAGGTCCTTGATGTGAAGGACAGTGGCTGGCAGCTGGCGTAGAGTGAGCACAGGAGCCCTAACAGGCTTTTCGGCCATCTAGCCCCGGTTCAGGGCAGCATCTACGGCCCCCACACAGCCCACAGGCCAGCATGGGTGGGGTGGGAGGGGGTTCCACCTGAAGAGCCTCCACGCTTCGGAGCAGGAGGCAAGCTGTGGCCACTGCCCGCCCTTCTGCTGTCCCAGTGAGAAGTGACCTGAGTCCCCTTCCAGACCCACCCCCTGCCCGGGGTCCACTGAAGCATCTTCCATTTCCAAAAAGCCCAGAGTTCCGTGTTCCAAGGAAAATCCGACATGGAGGTGCTCAGGCCCAGAGGAGTCCTGTGGGCAGGACCCTTGGCAGGGGCAAGCCCCTCCCTCTACACCCAGGACTGATTTCTGCTAACAAAGGACTGGCTTGGTCCTAACTGTGGTCCAGAGACGTCCCCAAGACAAGGATGGGAGTGCTAGCTCTTGAGAGTCACTACGCCCGTCCGCCGCCTTTGCCTGTGCTGCAGGTGTTTGCTGTGGGTCCTGCCCACGACTTCCTGCTGTCTGTGCCTGGCCCTGCCCACGTGAATGAGCCATACCTTGAGGAATGTCACTTTCCTTGGCAATCCCCCTCACCGTTAGGGGTTCCCTGTTTGGCTCCTTTCCAGCTGAAAATACCTGTACCATTTGGGAAGCTGGATGAAGTCTGGGCGGCCCCCGGTATAGGGCCCTGGAACACTGAATCTGTCAGCCTCGGCCTTGAGGCCACGTTAACTCAAGAGTTTGAGCCTCTTCCAGGTGGTGACATGGGAGCTGCCTTGTATAGCTTCTGACCAATGTCAGGATTTCTGTTCTGAGAGCACCTTGGGCAGAGACGGGCAATCTGGCCACTGGATCTTTGTGATGCCAAAAAGAGAAGTTAGTGGGATTGAGTGGTCACTTTCTGTTCTGATGGATGAAGAAAGTCAGCCTGCAGGCATGGGGCTATTCCAGTGCCTGACCACAGGGGCGGCTACCCTTCCACAGAGCAGCCTGGACTTGGAGAATGGGCTCTGGTTTCCGGGGGGGCAAGACCCCCCCAGTACCTCACCGTGCCAAATAGGAAGAGGTGGCCTTGGTGTAGCCAAATTGATCTCAACAGTGTGCCTTTGGGGAGGAACCCATTTCCTTGGCTTCATTGAGGGCCATCCATATGCCACCTGGGGCCAGCCCACAGTGGCTGTGTTGGCCGCCACAGGAATGGTGCCCACCTTGCCGAATTGAAGGGCTGAGAGTCCAGGACAGCTAGGCTGGAGCTGGAGGCAGTAAGGGGAGGAGCTGCTCCCACAAGAGAGGGAGAGATTCCAGCTCCCTGCTCAACCTAGGAGGAGTGGATCCTGGCACACCAGCCTCCCTGTCCCCAGACAGCCAAGTTCGTGCCTCCTTCCTGCGGAGCACGGTGCTGCCTTCAAGGCTCCAAAGCCGGGCCAACAGCTCTCCAGGCCTTCAGGGGTGACTCTGGGCTTCCAGGAGTTGGAGAAATGAGGGTGTCTCGCTGGGTGCCTGGGCTGACCAGACTCCTCCCCAGCAGCCAGGTCTCTCCAGACCCTGAATCGGTGCCTTTCTGTTTACCAGCTACTTCAATCCCAAAGTTCGAATCTGCAGATACCTTACTCCCAGCCACTTTGCCTTCTTACTGTGTTGCGTGTTTTTCCTGGTGCTTAAAGAGTGTGTGTACGTGTGCAGGGCAAGTGCCGCCACCGGGGAGCTGCACCAAATGCTCAGACTTGGTTGTCTTTATGTTTACCAATAAATAAAAGTAGACTTTTTCTATTTTTATTTGCTGCTATTTGTGTGTGTGTCACTGTCTGTCTAGGTATCTGGCACATCTGACAAGATGCCTTGTTGCTTTGTCCTGAAGGTCCCACAGGAATGGTGGCAGTGTGTGTGTGTGGAATGGTGTGTTAATCCCGTCCTGTTGGCTCCTGTGTTGAACAGGAAGCAGTGGCCAGTCTGCCTTCTTCCTTACAGGTGTTGGCATATTTTTCTATGTATATATTTTGTACCAAAAAAGAGCGTTCCTTGTTTGGGTTACACTCGGAATTCTGATCTAGCTGGAGAGGGCTCTGGGCTGAGACGTTTCATTAAGGGGAGACTTTGGGGGAGGATCAAGCTTTGAACCAAAGCCAATCGCTGGCTTGATTTGTGTTTTTTAATTAAAAAAAAAAAAAAAAAAAAGGCCAAATCATTCATGTATGCCACTTCTAATTGCTTTCAACTATGGCTGTTCGCTTTCTTAAAAGAGAACGAAAATAGATGTGTTAGCGCCTTAGGAAAGGGTCTGTGTTGAAACAGGACAGCCACCCAGGGCCCACACTGAATTGGGATCAACCAGTTCAAGGAAATGCTTCCCCCAGAAGGCCCCTCATGGTGTGGGGAAAGGGAATGGAGTTGGGGACAGGTAGTGCATCTTATGATTCTGTGGGTTTTCTAGCATTTTGGGAAACTAGCTTAGGTTGCAAGATTTTTCCAATTTTTAGACTGATGTTAATTTATTTTGCCAGGGAAACACAGCAAATGGCGCCAGAATATTTTTGTCCTTTTGTTGACTCTTAGTATTTCAATAAATTTTTTTTAAAAAACTTTTGGCCTGGTGTACATCATGAATGATCCCTGGAAACACAATCGACTCTGCTCTTTTCCTTTCTTGAGGCAAAATAATTCATCTGGCCATGGCCTGAATACTGGTGGCAAAGAAAAATCAAAGAGTAGCAGGGTGCGGTGGCTGACACCTGTAATCCCAGCACTTTGGGAGGCCGAGGTGGGTGGATCACCTGAGGTCGGGAGTTCGAGACCAGCCTGACCAACATGGTGAAACCCCATTTCTACGAAAAATACAAAATTAGCCAGGTGTAGTGGCGCATGCCTGTAATCCCAGCTACATGGAAGGCTGAGGCGGAAGAATCACTTAAACCCAGGAGGAGGAGGTTGTGGTGAGCTGAGATTGAGCCATTGCACTCCAGCCTGGGCAACCAGAGCAAAACTCTGTCTCAAAAAGCAAAAGAAAAAGACTTTGGGAAAAGATTGGCCACTTGCATAGGGTGCAGAAAAATATGTTTTTCTAAGCAAGGGATGGGGGAGCTTAAGAGTCTGTATACCAACGGTTCACAACAGGGAACAATCTGGCATCCCAGGGGGCACCTGGCAGATCTGGAGATCCTGCTTGTCACGCTGTGGGGTGGGTGCCACCGGCATCTAGTGGGTAGGTACCAGTGTCCTGAGGTGCACAGGACAGTCCCCATGACAGAAAGAAATGATCCTTCCCAGTATGTCAGTAGTGCTGAGTTTGAGCAACTTAATTAATGGGAAAAAGAAACGACGCAGGGGTGGGAGGCAGGGGCAGTGTCGCCGGCATCTGGTAGGTGGAAGTCAGGGATGCTGGGATACATAAACTTACTTTGAGACTCAAAGGAAACCAAAACTCTCCCTCTCCCCACCCCCACGGTATCCGAAGATGCTGTGTCGGAAAGCCACTCCACCCCTCGAAGCCACCAGCCACCGTCTGTGCTAATGCTTTACAAGGAAACAGCCATAAAATTCCAGGGGAGTCACTGTGAGTTAGCAGTTACCGCAACTCCTAACCCAAGGCTCGTGAATAAAGAGGTGATTTGCTTATTATAGAACCTTCCTGGAGCCCTTAAGGCTTGCACCAACCCCAGCATGAATTTATTCATAAATTCCAGCCTCCAGGGAGAATAGAGCTTCTTTGAAGTCAAGAGAGAAGCTGGGCCTAGATGCTGCGGCCACTGGGTGAAAAACTACGCGGGGCAAGGCCTGAATCTTTTGGTTCAGAAGAGGGCTCCACTGTAAATGGAAATGTGACCCCAGCACTAGCCGGCTCTAGGAAGGCCTGCCAATTCGACATCAGACTCGAGGCTGCTGCTGGCAGGCTCTCTTTTGTTGCCTTCGGAAGACTCTGGCTGTTTTGTTTTGGAGCAAGTGGGCAGGGGCGACCCCAGCGAGCCTGTCCTCTGGTTTATCAGAGCTGCAGAAAGGGGCTGGGACCTCCAGGAAGGAGCAAGCTGGCGGAGCAGGAATAGGCGCGGCCCCGATGGGGAGCCAGGATTTCGGGACAGCCCATTTCTACAGGGATTCCGCCAGACGGGTGCCGGGCCGGGCTTGCTCGGCCTTTGTCAGCTTCTGCGCTGCTGATGTGATCGCCTAATCCAGTGCCCCGCAGAAGAATAGGCTGGGCTGCCAGGGTCCCCACCCGGCTCCAGGGCCCGGCCCCATGGCCGCGACCTTCCGGAGGGCGCCGGGAGCGATGGGTGCAGAGGGGCTGGGAGAACGCTGACCCGGGCGGCTGGACCTCCTTCCTCGCCTCCGCTCTCGTGGCTCGAGCGCCGAGCCTCAGGGAGGATGCAGAGGGGGCGCCCGTGGCAGTGGGCGCCCAGCGGTGCCTTTGGGTGGGGAGAGATGGGGCTTTCTCTGTTCGGGTTCGGAACCAGAAAGGCACTGGCCCCCCGAGGGGAAGGGGTGGGCGCCGGCCACCCGGGCCGAGGCCGCCACCTGCAGAGGGCGCGCGCGTCCCACCAAGGTCGGCCGCCGGCCCTTCGGACGGACGGGGGAAAAGCCAGCCGCGGCTCCAGGGTGCCCGGGACGCAATCGCGCCACCTGCAACCCGGCCACCTCCGCCTCCGAAGTCTCAGGAGGAAACCCCCGACCCAGCCCGCAGCCCCTCTCGCAGCGTTCAGGACCCGAGGCTGCAGGCGGAACAGAACAGAATGGACGGAACAGAATCACGCAGGGCCCTGAGCCGCGCCAGTCTTGGACTTCAGTTGGGTCCGAGGCTCCTCTGGGCCTGAAGGGCTTTCACGTGAGAAGAAGAAACCAGCACAGGAGCCGGGGCCGGGTATGTGCGACGGCGGCCCGGGCGCACAGTACGGCGCCTAGATCAGGGTGGTGCCAAGCTAGCATTGAAGTTACGGAAAATAATCCGATCCGACACTGTAGGAAGAGCAGGAACCTTCCAGCCCAACCAATGTTTGTGCGGGGCCAGGTTCCCCGCCGCGGTGACCACACAAGCCCGCCCTGTCCTAGGGACGCAGGGTCACCGGTCTGCCCTGAGGCCGCGGCGCACATCTGGTATCTGCAGCTGTGGGGGGTTCCCCGGGAATCTGCCTGCCCAGGAAACGGAAATCCGCGAAGGCGCTCCTCAAAGCCGAGGCTGGTGATGGCCAGCGAACCCGAAAAAGGGGCAGGGTCGGCAACCTCTTATCTGCTTAAGCAGGAGCCCATGCCACTGCCCCACACACCCACGAGTGGAGGCGGGAGGGAACCCAGTCCGAGCGGCCACCGTCGCGGGGCCACCCCACCCACCTTCCCTTGACGCTCCCTGCCCGCGCGGAGACCGCTTGTTGCGGCGGGGGCAGCCTAGGGCGAAGGACTTTGACGCCTGGCGGCCAGGACTCTCCTCGGCAGGCACCGCGGGCCCTCACGTCGGAAGGAGACACAAGGCTCTGTGACCCGCCGCCCTGGGCCCGGGCCCCAGGAGCTCCTCCTGTCCTCTCGCGCCCTCCCACACCGGTCACAGCTGGGGAAGGGGGAAGCTCCGCCAAGGGCAGGGCCACTGACTCCTCGGCAAGCGGACAGAGATGCTTGAGCGACCCCGGTCCCCGTCCCTCCCGGCGGGCTGTACGGGAGAGCCCGAATCGCGGCTTCTGGGCAGGGCGGGGCACGATGCAAGCAGAACTGGGTTTAGTGCGCGGCCTCTTTGGGGATGCCGAGGGTGGGTGGCCCTCCTGTGCCGGCTTCACGACCCCGCCCCCGCTGCTATGAAGTCTGCGGCCAGAAAAGGCCAAGAACACCTCCCTCTCCACCTCCACCCCGCACTCTGCTCTGCCCGCACCGACCTTCACCCATCGTTGGGGTTTAGGCCCGCCGAGGAGACCTGGGCCGGGGAGGCTGCGGGGACTCGGCGGCGGGGGAGCGCAGGGCTGCAGCGCCGAGGCTCCAGGTTCACTAATCACATCAGCAGCGCTCTGCGCCGGCTCGGAGCAGGCAGTTGCCTAGCAATACCCGTGAATTCAATTCCTCAATCAATAGGCGCGAGGCTCTGCATTTCGGGGAGCGCTAGCAAGGTTGCATGGGTCTAGGGAGTGGGTCTCACGACAGCTCCGAGGAGCAGGCCCGGGAGGCTGTGGGCAGCGCGGCGACGCCCCGCGGACTCGGAGACCAGACACCTCTGGCCTGGGGGTGTGGCGCGCTGAAGGAACCCGCCAGAAAGGGGAACCCCCGACCCCAGGTGCATCCTCCGGGGGTCCCCAGATTCTGCCCAGGTCCGGAAGAAGTGCAGCCAGTAGGTGCGGAGAGACAAGGCTTCCCCGGGACAGGCTGAGGAAAGTCGTACCCCGCGGCCTCCCACGCCCACCTCTATCCCAGCTGGGTGGGTTCCCCAGTTGGGGAATGGCCTTTTCAGGGACCGTTCCCCCACCGATGGGGGCGAGGATGGGGCCGGGAGACGGAGTAGATCCTCTCCTCCCGGGATGCCTCTTCCCTTTGCTCGGGGAAAGAAAAAGAATAAAACCAAGACATGTCTCTATTTACAAAGTATATATTTAAACACGTAAAAAGCAATATTGGATACAGACATTCACGACCGCAGAAGATAGGTACTGAAGCTTCACTCTTGAGCTGAGGCGGAGATCGATTGGAGATTTGTACAAATCTTAGAATTAAATAAACCCAACAGCGCACACATCCTGTGCGGTTGCAGACTCCCAGCCACACGGCCCCCGGCCCCTGCCCACCCACCCCCCAGGTCAGCGTCGCAAGAGCGAGCGAAGAAGACACACACGCACGGCCACGGACAAACAGCAGGACTAGGGCGGCAGGGACAGAAATAGGCTGGCTGGAGGAAGGTTCCAAGGGAAGGGGCAAAGCCCCAGGAAAGGAGGGACGTGGGAGTGAAGGACAGGCGGGTGAGAAGGGAGTGAAGGCGGCGGCCAGGTGAAGACGCGTGTCCCCCAGTCCGGTCCACTCGGTAACAGACATGCCCTTACAGGGAAGTTTCATCTGAAAATAGCGTCAACATTTAAATAGATACACTCAGTCAACGGCGCTTTTTTATACAAAGTCTAAAATACCAGTTTTACAAATGTGAGCAGATAAAAATCCCCACTCCAGGGACTTCTCTTTATAGGCGCAATTTGATATTCAAAAACAACCACAATCCTGTAGTACACCGTTTCCCTCCTGTCCTCTCTTTAAAGGCAAGAAAGTCTGGAGGAGAGAGAGGCTGAGAAGCCGGGAGTGCGGAGGAGGAGGCTGGGGTTCCCTCCCAGCACCCCCCACCCCACGCGAAGCTCCCCACCCCCGACTTCCGCCTCGCTCGCCCCGAGTCTGTGCTTTCTCTGGAGCGCAGGGCCCCCGCGCCCCTCCCTCGACAAGCGAAGTTAGATACTCGCTGGCCCTTTAAGGGCGGGGAGGGCGGGGAGGCCGCGGCATCCGTGCTCCCAGGCACCGGGATGGAGTGGAGGGGACTGATTTGTGCTTTTGAGTCAAAAGATGGGCGCGCGTTCTGGGCCCTCGGAGGGGGAGCGGTCAAGTCCGCCGGGCAGGGGCTTCCCGGGCCGCGGCCGCGTCCCCACTCCCACCTCCCGCTCTTCCCTCCCCGCTTTGGCGGAGTTTGAATGTCGAGTTCAAATAAAGAACACTGCGAATCGAAAAGGCCTATAAATTATAGCTTTTGCTTTTAAGAAGGACGGGGGGAAAAAAGGGAAAAGCAAAAGTTCTGATGGGCATTCTTAGATGAAACCCCGCCTCTCCCCTCCTTCCCCTGCCCCGCCGGAGCCGCGGGGGTGAGTCCAGCCCCAGCTCCGAGCCCCGAGGCCAGGTCCTCCGCCGCACTCCAAGCCTGGCCGCGGCGAAAGACTGCGTGCGAAGCCGCTGCTCCCAGCAGCGCCGGCCGCCGCGCCTCCCGCCGTGGGTTCCGCAGGGTGGGCCTGTCTGGCCGTGTGTCCATCGCGGAGCTGGCGGCCCGCCCTCCCCAGGCAGGGAGGCTTGTCCAACTCTTCCTGGGAGGTGGGGGCCGCCGTCTCTTCTCCTGGCAAAGCTAGAGGACGCGAAAAGGAAAAGTCCACCCCAACACTTTTCTTGTAAAACAACTGTCTCGAACTCTGAGCATTGACACGCAATCCTCCCAATTTATCCTGGCATTTCGGGAATGTAAACAGATTCGCTGGATTTCTTTTCTTTCTGCGGAGTAAGGAAAGGAACGAGGGAACGGGGAGATTTTATCCACATGACATACACACGATCTGCGTGTACCACACACACCCCTCCCTAAAGTGCATTTCCTGGTGTGGTCCTGGGAAGAAACCGCCTGTCCCTGCCCGCCGGTGACTTTTTAACTTCAACATCACACACGAAAAGCTTATTCAAGTTAATACTTTTTTCTCCCTAATAGACTTCTTTACCTTAAAAAAAAAAAAAAAAAAAAATTAAAAATAAAAAAAAAAAAAAAAAAAAGAAAGAAAAAAAGAAAAAAAGTAGAAAAAAGGAAAACAGACTGACCCCACCCCCCTTTTTTCTGATTGGGGAGCCAACCTTTTGTTGGCCTGCCTAGCCAATGGGAAGAGAGAGCAAATCTGGGCCTGGCCTTGGTGCCAGGAGTCTGGCATTGGGCTGTGGGAGAAGGGAGGAGGGGTGGGTGGGCAGGCCAAGCCCCTCAGACATTCCCAGAAACCTGTACCCAGGCCCCCAACTTCCCTAGGGCCCTGGGGCAAGGGGGCCCCTCCTGCCCCAACTCATGCGGCCTGCCCCAACTAAAGCACGATGAGAGTCTCTCTCCTTTAAATAAAACAACTTCAAGAGTTGAAATATATATATTTAGATATTTTTCTTAAATAACATATTTACATCTAATAGAAAATATAACTCTAGAGATAATCTTTCCAACAAAAACTGAGGGGGAGGAAGGAGGGATGAAAGGGGCTAGTGGGGGTGGGGGTGACATCAGGGATGGGAGCAGCCAAAGGCCACATCCCACCCAGAAATAAAAATCGCTATGCCAAGCTCACGCTCACTCTCTCCCCTGCTCTCGTCCTGGGCACACCAACCCGGCATTCATCTTTTCTCTTTAAAAAAGCCTTGGTCCGTGTTACTTTCCTTAATGGTGACGGTCAAAAAGTTTGAGGTCACATCCGTGACCACCACCTTCTCCAGGTTAGTCAGGGAGGGGCTCCAGGACTCTTCCTCCGGGTCCCCCAGGATTCTGGCCACGGGGATCCTGGCGATGAGGGAGGGCCTTCCCCCCTGAGCCCCCATGTCCCGGTACAGGCCCCCCACGGAGCTGGGGGGGCCTGAGCCATGTCGGACCCGGGCACCACTGGGATCCAGGGCACCCTGGCCTTTGGTCTCCAGGAAGGCACCCCTGTGCTTTATCACCCTGGCCGGGAAGGTGTCCACAGCCAGCTTTCCCGTGGCCTCGGCTGAGCTAGGGCTGGTCACACCACACTGCACCAGGTCCGAGTCCTGCCTTCGGGCCAGCTGGATCACGCTGTGGCCGGCTGGGAACTTTCCTGCCCCGGAAGGGGCGTCGTCCATCTTCCTGCCCTTGAGGTACTCTCCGAGGCCAGCGCTGGGTTCGCCCAATGGCCTCTGTGAGGGGTCCGGGAGCTCCTTCCGGGGCTTGGGGCCTCTCTTCTTGGAGCTGTCCCCTGGCGAGCTGGGCTTGTCATCCACTCGGCTGGCGCCCCGCTCCCGTTCCCTCTCACGTTCCCGCTCCCGCTCCCGGTCCCGGTCCCGGTCCCGAGGGGGCTCTGCGCGGCAGGTGCTGCTGGTGCTGGTGCTGCTGGCTGGAGGGGACAAACCCATGTTCCGAAGGCCCTCTCGGGCACGCGAAGTGGAGGCCAGGTCCTGGGGCGAGCGGCCAGGGTAGGGGATCCGGATACCCCTGGCTGAGTCACTTCGGAACTCGTAAGTTTTGGCCTTTGCCTTGGCCTGGGCCTGCAGGGGAGAAGATGGTATCCAAGAGTGGGGCAGGGCCCTGTCCTCCTCCACACGACTCCTCCTCCAGCCCTGCCCTCCTATCTTTACCCTTTGATACCTGGGAATTTCTACATGGATATATGGGTGGGTGGGTGGCTGGGTGGGGGGATGGCTGGGTGGGGAGGTGGCTGGAGCTGAGATGTGGCAGAATGGGGGAAGGGGTAGAAGGTTTGTCTGGAAGCAGTCATTTGCAAAAAGCACACATTTTACGTTTGATTACATATCCATTTGGGATGGGGGGAGGGTAAAGGAATTCTAGTGTGGCCAAGCCCATTTCCCCAGACACGGCTTGGTGCTGCCACTGACTTGGTGACATCTTGTCAGGGAACTCCTTCCTAGATTACAAATAGGCAACATGTGTGGTCACCCCATTGGCTCACAGCCCTCAGGGTCCCTTCCCACGAGTAACTCAACAACATTGTGGTCCACCACTGGATAGTGCCAGCCTACCTTGAGGAGGAAGGTTTTGGGTTTGGGTCCTCGCTTTTTGGGGCCATAGAGCTCCATCTCTCTTTCCCTGGAGAAAGGAGGGAAGGAGAAAGGGTGCGTGAGAAAAGAAAGCAAGTGGGACTCTAGAGCAGCTGGAGAGAAGCACTCTACTTGTTTCTAAGTGAGGGGCTGGGACTTGGAAGGGTCTGTACCTTTCCTCAAAGGCCGCAAGCAAGCGGGCATCCAGGATGTTTTCCTCCGGTTCCCATGTGCTGTACCTAAAGGGAATCAGGAAGAAGTGGGCATCAGTCCCAGGAGCAGGGTGAGAGCCGAGGGTGTATGTGTGTGTAACTTTTCTCGTTGCATTGTATTGTATTTCAACATAAAGGCAAAAAGAGGAAGAAAGAAACCTTCTGAATTAACAGTCTGGGGTTGAGAATTGCATACAACCTACTTACTTCTGCGACCATCCCTTCCATTTCACGAGGTATTCCATGCGTCCCTGCGGGTGCAAAGGGGATAATGTGTGTGCATGGAGAGAAATGCATGCCGAGGATACAAGAAATGCATGCGAAAATGCATGCACCAGATGAATGCTCGAAACCCCGCCGCAAAAGGCACGCGCCCACTGCATCACCCCTGCACCTAACGCTGCACAAAGTGCATGCACCGGCATTCATCCCCCACCCCGCCCCCCACCCATGCAATCCGTGCATCGCTGCAAGTCTAAGGAAAGCGCTGGGGCTCAGAGCCGCCGCCGCCGCCGCCGCCGCCGCCGCCACGGCCGCGGCCGCTGCTGGGACCTGGGGGAAGGGAAGCTGGGCTGCAGCAGGGGGAGGGAACCCGGGCCGGGAGGGGAGGGCCCGGCCGCAAGGAGGCCCAAGGCCCGGGGGCACCTACTTTCCGTATGCGCCGCTTCAGGAGGGCTTCGGCCGCGAACACCCGCTCCCCCACCGCTGAAAGCTCCATGTTGACTCGCCGCTTCCCCCCTTGGCCGCTTCCAGGAGCAGAAAAGCAGCAGCCAGCGCACGACAGACCATAATACTCTCCCGCTGACGTCAGTTCTCCTCCCCCTCCCCGCGCACTCGCTCCCTCCCGCGGCCCCCCTCCCGCGCTCCTCGGCTCGGCCCCCTCCCCTCCGCCCAGCGCTTCCTCCCGCCCCACGTGTTGCTAACGACGTTGCTAAAGCCGAGCGGCCGGAGGCCTGCGCCCCCGCGCGCTGATTGGGCGAGCTCCGAGCCACGCCCCTCTCCCTGTCTCCCCCGCGTTGCTACGTGACCCGCGTTCCAATCGCCAGGGGGCGGAGTCCGAGGCGACTCCAGAGACTGAGCGCGCGAGTGGGAGGGGGCGCCGCCGGAAGTGACGCGACGGGGAGGGCGGGCCCGGCCGCTGTCAGTCTGCGGGGCCGGCGAGGGGGGCCGGCCGCTCTCTGTCCTCGCCGGGGCCCCCTCCCCCGCCACCAAGTAGTCCCTCCGGTGTTCGGCGTCCCCCACAGCTCTCGCTGGGATCCCCGCGGCGTTGTCAGCCTGGCTCCGCCCCTCGGCAGACCCCGGCCCGCCCCACCCCCACCGCCCAGGGCTCTCGCCGTCCCCTCCCCCCGCCGCCCGCGCCGCACAATGCACAATGCACAGGTGCTGGGGCGCCGCGGGCCGCGCCCGAACCCCGAGAGCCGGCGGCGCGCCCAGGGCCGGCCCCTCCACCGGTCCCCGGCCCCCGCCCCCGCCCCCCGCGCCGTAGCCCCGACCCCCGGTCTCCATGGCAACGCCCCCCTCCGCCAGCCGGGTCCCGCTGACAAATCAATGTGCCTGTGTCTCGGGCTCCCGTCGCGCGGCCCTGCCCTCGGCCACCCTCCGGGCCCTGCGAGCCGGGCTGGCTGGGGCGCTGGTCCCCGGCTCCGAAGCCGAGCACAGACCTGGTGGAGGCCGGGCTGTTGCCTCCAGACCCCGCAGAGGACGTCGCGCGGCTTCTTCCTGCCCCCGCCCCACCGTCCCCGACGCCCGCAGCCACCTGCCCCTGCCCTCAGCTTGCGCGGCCCGCCCCCGCCAGGCCCTGGTCAGAGCCTCGCCTGCCCTGGCCGCCCTCTGCCCGGGGCCTGGGAGGGCTAAGGGTATCTGGGCAGAGCCCGCAGGGGCTGGGGCGCGCGGCTGGGGGTGCGTCCGGCTTCCCCCGGACCCCACCGCCCTTCCCACCGTGCGCGGTAGACACTCTGCGAGAAACGCTGGCGCGGGAAGTTGGGGGACGCCGCCGGGTCCAGTGCGGGCTGGGCGAGAGGGTCTCACGCGCGAAGATGGCGAGCTCCTGGAAAGGGACAAGGGCCGGCCCCGGCTGCTTCGGGTGCGCACACACGCACGTGCACCGCCGACTCTGCTGCCAGCTCTGCTGCCGGTGACCCGTGGCGGGGCCGGCGCTGGGGACAGCAGCCGCACTCTGGGCCCAGCTCCCTCCCACCCTGTTCTCTTATTGCCCAAGCTCCAGATTACAACTCCTACTCCTTGGAACCCACGATTTAATTCAAACATCGATGATCAGCCGGACTGGAAGCGGTTTCCCTTGGCCAGAGCTGGGGTGGAAGAAAGGGAGGGTGAAAAAAGAGAGGCAGAGAGAGAACGATGGGAAGCGAAAGAGAAGCAGCCAAGGAGTCTGACTCGGAGGGGCAGGAAGCCCAGAGCGGAAAACTGGCCTCCTCTCCAAAGTGAGGCGCGCGCAGGCGGCGGCAGCCCCGAGGTCCTCGACCCGCGGGGCAGGCAGGGCGCTTCGCCCGTCTTCCCTCCCAGTCCTGACCCAGCCCCTGGAAACACGGGTTTCAGGTTTTGGCCTCGCTCCTAAACTTCACAAGGTGGCCTCCGGTCGAACAGTCCCATCTCTGGCCGTTCTGTCTGAACGAACAGCTCGTCGAGGACTCTCAGATCTCCGGGTGACCCTCGCAGGCCGTCCGTGGGAGGCCGCCGACGGGCGCGTCCTTAATCATAAAAAGTCATTCCCGGTAACAAATAGTTTCGTCGGCCGGTGCCAGCGATACAGCTGTTTCTGTTTAAGCTTAAATACTTTCCAACAGTTTGGGCAGTAAAAATAAAGGCGGCCTCAGCCGCCTGTAAGTGTCTGGTTTCCCCGCCCAGAGAAAGCCCACCCTCCGCCCTGGGCTCGGGTCGCTCTGCCTGTCCCGCCCGCCCCCTCTTGGAATCCGCTGCCTGCCGAAGGCAACGGCTGCGTGTCCGTCCCAGCCCCGCACCGGCCACCTGAGCTCCTCGGGCTGGCTCCAGGGCCACCGTGGAAGTGGGAGAGAGGGGGCCTTCCCGGAGTGGGCCGCGGTACGTGACCCGCCTGGCCTCGAGCCTTCCCCCCACCCCTGGCAAGCTCTCCCGCACCCGCGAAGAGCGGTGGTTTTCCTTCAGATAGAGTTTCTGGAGCTGGGTTCCCGGGGTTGTGCTTGCCCTTGATGCCTGTACAGACCGTGGGGTTTGCACTAGGCGTGCAGAGGGCGATGGTTTCAGTTTCACCCCGAAGAAGATAGCATTAGTCCTTTCTCCATGCGTTCTTTCCATTTTCCTTCCTTCCTTGCTTGCTTCCTTCCTTCCTCCCTCCCTTTTCTTGTTTCCTTCCTTCCTTCCTTCCTCCCTCCCTCCCTTTTTTCCTTCCTTCCTTCCGTGTCCCTCTCTTTCCACCTCATTTTCCCTTCTTTGCCTAAATACCTGTGAAACTTAAAGTGAAGAAATGAAACTCCTGATGCTGGCAGGTACGGCCCCCTCCTCTGGACAGTGTATTAGGTAATTAGCTTATTTTCCCCACCCAGTTTCCCACCCATCTTTGTGCCTGATGGCGATTATTTCAGAAATGCTTGCTCTGAACAAAATTACCGCTTGTGAAGAGTCTGAGTTTGCAAACGTCGGGGATTCCTGCAAAGCCTGTGCCAAAGGTGGAACTCGATTCAGACGGAAAGAAGAGGTATAGGATAATCTGAGGGCAGGTAGCCCGGCTCTTGTCAGCAGCAGACGCGCTCAGTCCCGCCAAGGAAGGCAATCCCCAACGGGACAGAGTGTGTCTCACCCCTGCCTGGCACACCCCCTTCCCTCCAACTGCCCCCAAGAGAGCAGCATTGCAGGGGGTGTGAAAACAGGTCAACGGGCAACCTCACTCCTGGACAGTTTGGAGACAAAGCGAGAGGTAGTGGTCTGAGAAATGGGAGCCCACCTCCGGGGTCTCGCTGTGTGGCTGTCGGAGGATGTCCTGTCTGCTGGGAGACAGTGCTGGGAGAGGGTGCTAGCATGCGTGAGGGTACAGGGGGAGGAGGTTTGCAGTCATTCCAGCCGGGTCTGAACCAGACCCAGAGGACAGGTCAGCTGGTCGCACGGTCTTAGGAACCCACAGAAAGAGGATCCTTGCTCCCCACCTTTCTTATCGAACCCCCTTCCCTGACCCACTCAATTCTCGCCACCTCCCTTTTCTCCACACAACCACTTTCCTGGTTCAAAGTTAGATAACTGCCTGTCCCACCTACACCTCCCAGGAGCAAACAAAGTTGTAAAAGACAAGACACGCTACTCAATCCCATCGCTTGGCGGTCCGCTGCAGAGGCTGCGGCTGCCGGGTTGGCGTGCGCCGCCTCTGCAGTAAATAAGGTAACTGCTTCCTATTACTTTAGCCCCATATGGCTGCAATTTGAGTGTCTTTAGAGACAGTGCGTGTGTTGGGGCGGGGGATGGGGGGAGTGAAAGTGGAAATCAAATGCTCTCAGATCGCATTTTTATGAAGGAAATTGTCGGCGGTTCTCTTAACAGCCGCCACCTCTCCAGAGACGAGCTGCCCCGTTTCTTTGTTTACGGAAATACGGGCGCCTACCCGCCTGGGGACACCTGCTTCCCAAACCCCTAGGTCTCCGGCCCGGTTCCGCACTCTTCTGGCGACCTGGGTGCACGGCCTGCGACTGCCACTCCCGACAAAGGGTCTGCGACCTGCTCCCGGGAGCCCGCCCTACCCTCGGCCTCAGCCACTCAAAGGTGCCCGGACTCTGCACTCGATGCTGCAGCCTCCTGAGAGCCCGGAGTTTGGGGGCCCTCTTAGGCTTCCCTGGGCCCGCGGACTCATCCTCCGGGAGGGAGGCTGGAGGCTGGAGGCTGGCGCAGTCTGAGGAGAGGGGCTGACGGGCCCCAGCGGGGCGCTGGGCTCCTGGGTCGCGGGCTAGGCCGACAAGCCCTAGCGCGTCCTGTAGTTCGAGGATGAGGCCGGCCGGGTTGTTTGGGAGCGTTTCAATTCCGCGGCTTGGCGGGCGTCGGACCTGCCCGGTCTTGGCCGCGGACACGGGCAGATTTGGAACCCAACCGTTTGCCTGCGGCGGCCGGCAGCGAAGTGAGCGCGGGCGGCTCCGAGGCGTGGCCTTGTGGCCGGTGGCTTACCTCCCGCGGCCCCGGATCCGGGCTGGCGTCCCGCAGCGCTGCTTCCCCCGACGCCGAGCTAGGGCTGGGCGCCTGCCGCCTGCTGTGGAAATGCCGCAGGGTGACCCAACATTCTGGAAACTGGTCCCAAGGCCCAGCCTGGGTGACCGGAAAGGAGGTGGTCCGGGATTCTGGCCTTGCTTCCCTCTGCTAGTTATTCCCAGGAGCAAGAAGCTCCCACCTTTTCTGTCCGGCTTTCTCCTCCCTAGGAGACATCCACAGCTCCTCCTTGCTAGAGAAGCACTAGAACCGGGTGCAAAGGGGCTGCCTGCTCTACAGGAATCTCCCACGAGGCTGCGCACATTCTAGAAGCCAGAATTCTGCCTTAAACCCCAGAAACTGAAATCAGGCCACCTTTCTTCCCCTCCACAGGGGAAAATACCCCCTCAGAGTTAAGCAACATCTGTTGCTTAACTAGTTGCCCTATGTCTAGTGCCTGTGTTATCCCAGTTAAGATTCACAGCAGCCAGGTAAGATCAGTTCTACTACCCCCATTTTCTAGATGAGGAAAGCGAGGCACAGCGGGGACCAAGTCACTTGCTCAAGGGCACAGCAGGGGTTCTGCCCGAGAAGCCCGAAGCAAAGCCGGACGCCCAAGCCCCTAAAGCTCCATGGCGGGGGCATTGGATCCTCGTGAATTTCAGCTCCTCCAAGG